AATTGAGTTTAAATTAAATATTGTCATGTTTTTAGTGCATGAATCTGAATTGAACAACCTGATAATGCTCACTCTGGTTATTGTTATCTGGTTGCTCACTACGTGCTCTTGCGCGCCGAATCCAATCAATTAAAAATGAAAACTGTTGCCAGAGCGAGAAAAGAAATATCATCGGCTTTATTGATACATACATACATACGTACGTATTAGCGTTTTATATAATATAGAAGACAGATTTACTAAAAGTTACTTTTAGCATGAATTTATCTTTGAATAAACGAATTTAATAATTGCGTTCAAAAAATTTTCAGTTTACTTAAAAATTTATCAAGATATGGCGAAATACGCAAAAATTAAAATTAGCATTAAGGGATCCAAACTTTGGATTGCAAAGTTTAGTCAAAACTACGTGAACCATATTTCCTAGATTGCGACTACACCCTGTATTTTGAACGTCAAAAATCTGAATTCGTCTAAAAAATGGTGTGTTTATTCAGAGAAAGTAAGTTTTTGCGTCTTATTTTAACTTAAAATATCGTCTGCACTAATTAATTAGAATATTTCAGATCACCCCCTTAAACCATTACGATTCTCTACATACACCCTTTTCCATAGTAGTTAGAGCATCCGACTACAGATGCAAAGTTTCTTGGTTCGATCCCAGTCAAAATCCTTCCCATTGGTAACAACGGACAATGAGCTTGCAACTCTCTTACTCCTCGAACAACTCTACACTATTTCGCCTTTTTAAACGATTTACTTCTTTAGGACAAACAAATTACATCTGGATCTCAAAAAACATCTTGAGGCAGAAATCCTGCCGTGAGCTGAGTTGCAATAATATTGAGACCTCGCTCACGACTACAGGGCCTCTCAATCTCGTGAAAGGCAGACAATCAATCGAATAGAATCGAGGCAGACAATCAATCGTTTTCTAGAGAGGGGAATGTGCTGCGGCTCCCCCCCCCCCAAAAAACTCTCCNCCAAAAAAAAACTCTCCAATCAGGTTCTTGCTCGCATCTCTTAATTTTCGCATTCTCTAATTTTTCTCATACAATGTGATAGCCCTTTTTGAACATTCTTACTTCATGTGATTCGTTTCTGCAATCATACTCGACACTCGATTCGCTGTGCATCTTACTTGTAGTTTCTAAACAGTCACACGCACGTCTTGGTCAATCGCATGCAGTGTGAATGATCCCTTAAATATCCTTGATCCCTGGCTCTCTTCTCTTATGTCTCTTGATGATGATCGAATCATAAATCGCATCAGAACAAAAGCCATTTTCACATATTCACATATGCAGTTCACGCCCTTCCGATGACCATTGAGAGACACTATAGATCACCGTCCTCAAAAAACTCACTATTCATGTCCTCCATTTTTCTCGATGGTAAAATGTGGTACAATGAGAATGTCCCAAAAAGTATCTGATGTGGATGCGTGGTGCGGAGTAATGTAGTGCGCAAAGGGAATTTTAGTGCGGAATTACGATTTGCATCAAATTTTTATGAAAAATGATATTTATTGTTTTAATGAATGTTTTGAATCATTATTATGCTCTTACTGAATATATTATACTAAAATATCAAATTAGTTTTAACAAAAGGAGTTTTGAAATCATACTGGCAACGCCAGTTTTTATTTCTAAAGCTGCAGTTTCAAATCTGGCTACAGAAAATCTGCATTAACCATTTCCCTCGTGTTCGCACATCTCATCCCATTAAATTAAAAAAGGTTAGTGTTTTTTAATTGTTTATTAAATAAACGTGATTTATTTATGTTTGCAACTACGATTTTATTGTTTTCGTAATTGTCAGTGAGATATAACACCCATGACTTCATTTTCGAGACTTTCCGGCTATCAAAATATGCAGGTTCATGTGCCGCATTGCTTCACACAAAAATAAGCCGAAATCATAACAAAGTCAAATTATATTTTTTTGCGACAAAAATTATTAATAATATTTATTTATACATTTTTATCGATTTCCGAAACTTTTTTGGCATTTGCTGTTTTCTATTGATTATACTGTAAACAAAGGATGACTTTCTGCCGATATCCTAAGTTAAATGTTGGATCATCGCCGCTCCCATTAATTTATTAATTATTTCTTTTTCAAAATTATTACTTATAATTTTATATAAAGAAGCATGATTAAGATTTAGTTATTAGAAATAAATACGAATTTGATAAGTATTCGAAATTCATATTCATTCCATTTTGCTTTTATGATAATGCACTCGCAGTTCTTACTCAAAGAATGCTTGCATTTTGTGTCATAAGTATGTATTTTGATTACATATTAAGCCATAGAAATTATCAAACCTAACCCTATTTAGACTGAAACTTACTGCCGTCTTCTCTATCAATTATTGAAAGTATTGTACTGTTTAAAGATCTAATGTAATTTTCTATTATCTTGGGCTTTTTTTATTACATTTATTTTGTTATTTGTGTTGCTAATGCTGAATAATATTGGGGTCTTAAGCAAACTTAAATATGAATCATGTATAAGTAATTGATTTCACAAAACTTCCACAAGGTTAGAGAGAAACAAGTAATTTTTACTTAGACAAAAAATACTGCCATATTAAATTCTTTTGCAAAAACTAATTTTCGTAAAAATCCTTTTGGCCTGATAGCATTTTATCAAAAGTGGTTCTTTAAAATATCACTATAACATAACTGCCAACTTTTTATCCCTTCCATTATGATTTTTCCCACTGGTAATAAAATTTCGATTTTAAGCATAAAAATATGATGTATTTGAAAAAGCCTAAGCTGCAAACCATGTTAGTAGCACATATTAATATATATGCTTAATTTTTTTTAAGAACAGTGGTAATCAAAATCATTTAAAAATAAGTTAATAAAAGAAATAATAGTACATATTTACTACCACTTTAAATGTAAAAATAAAATTTTACGCCAAATGCGTAAAAGTTGGCAGGTATGACTATAAATTTGATACAAGTTTTCTCTTAGTTTGCTCCTTACAAAGTGTGTTATGATGTATTAAAGTTTTTAAATAATTGCTCATTAGATTTTAATGCATAATAAGTGTATTTAACATAGGTATAAAACTTTTTCATATATTTCAACCCATAAGTCCATACACACAATTTTATTTGTCTGGTTTGAATTAAAATCACAGACCAATTATTGAAATTTACTAAGGTGTTTTTTTTTTTATAGATATAAATTAATTCATTCTTCATTTGGTATCTAGATAATAAATCATAGCTTTAATTTTAAATTTCATGGGAGTGTTAGTGTTAATCTTGTTAAAAGAACTTTGATTTTTTTTGTCAGCTTTTAATACTTTAGTATCAAAGAGTTTTAACCATTTTAGTAATATTTTTTTTAAATAATATTAAGCATTGTTAATATGTTTTGAATTTAGATGAGTTAATATATAAGGATAATTGATTTATATATATAAAATATAATTCATTAATATAAAATAAGATTTTTTTATATAATTTTTTTAACTATATTTTAACTTCCAACAGAAAAAAAAACATAATTTTAACTGATGCTTAATAATCTCAATATTTCTTTGATGTCAAACAGCAGAACAGTGATTAATATTTTTATTAAATTATCTATTTAATTATTATTGAATATTTCAGTGATAATTTTCTTTTATTCATGTTTATTTTTATTCTTTTTTTAGATGAATGCTGAAAAGTTAAGTAAGCTGCAGGCTCAAGTACGAATTGGTGGAAAGGTAAAATATTTCATTTAATAATTATAAATTGAATCATTATCTTTTATTCCAAGTAGTCATTAAAACTAGAATATATCTATTTTTGAGCAAAATAGAGTAAAAAAATTACTAAATTTTGCTCAATATTTAAACATTGAAACATGGACTAACTGTTTTGAATGCTATTTGTTGATGGCAGATTCAAAAAATATTATTGCTAAATAACAAGGTGCGTAGCATTTTTAAAAAGTGCTTATTTTCATTTTTTAAAAGCCCTTAAGCCTTAAAAATATTTTTGAGTGCATATTTTTTGTTGAATAATTTGGCTAATTATATAATAAGTTATTGTTGTAAATAGTTTACAATGCCCATTTTTTACTATTGTATAAAAATTTAACAAAATGTCAGTCATGTTAGATTGGTTTAAAAATAAATAATAAAAATGATAATCACCTGCGAATGTATTGAGTATTGCCATTTTTATTAATGCAAAGTAAAAGCAGGATAAGCAAGCTGAAACTACTAGATTCGTGAAAAGATGATAATTTAACTAAAATCTGGGCAAAAACTTTCTGGACAATCTGCAGTTATTTTCTTTTTTGTCATTGTGCTACTAAAATAAACTTTCTATTTTGCTGTCGCATTCCGATGAGATCAGCATACTTTACTTTTTTTTCTCTTTTATTTTATTATATTTTTCTATTGTCTGCTTCCAAAAGCTGCTGTTAAATGTATCTATTTCTGATATTACACCATTTTTTTTTATCCCAAAAAAAAAAAAATCTTTCTGCAAGAGTTCTAACATTCTGTAGCAGTGTCATCACGATTTCGTCGTGGTGACTTTAGTTATAGCAATATTTTGAAATATCTTTGTTAATTACGAAAAATATTTATTCTTAATAAAACTGCTTATTTATTATCTGCATTTAGCAGAGGTGCATGACCATTTTCATACTGCAGGCCGTTAAAACTAAGATGTACTGTGTTGGTAGAGGCAACATTAACATTAAGTTGTAATTATAAAGATGAAGAATCCGACTAGATTTTATTATTAAAGTAATGTGAATATTTCTTTCTTTTTTTTTATTTTTCTTTTTTTTAAGGAATATTATAACGGTCAGATATCTGGTATTTAGGAGTAGTATCTTTTTGTTTTTAGCATATACAGTAGGGAACCGATTATCCGGAACGATCGGGACCATCGCTATTCCGGATAACTGATTTTTCCGGTTTTCTGAATCACTACGAAAAGCCGTTTTTTTTATTGTTAAACCCAACTAAAAAAAAAAAAAATTATGATAATAATCTTAAAAAGAGGAAAAAACGATGAAGTAATACACTAATGATTATTTCCAAAGTGATGGTAAGGTAAACATCCTTCAAAAAAGAAAGAAAAATCCTAAAATCTTATGAGGAAAAAAAAATATTTTTTAAAAAAATGGCGGGAAAACTTCTCGAATTTCGTTCCTGTTTTTTGGTTTTCCGGTTTTCTGATTTCCGGATAACGGGTTCTGTACTGTACTTTAATATTTTCTTTTTGTTCATGTTTCCTTTTCTTTTAAATAATTTTTTAATTAGATGTTATTCAAATTAACTTTAAATTTCAAAACTGTCAGGGTTGGGTTTTTGCTGTGAAAAACTGGTTTTTGACATGACATTGGTAAAAACAGTGTTTTTACTGGTAAAAACTGTCAAAAACCTACTGTTTTCTTTCATTTCTGGCATATAGTGGACAATATATTATTTTCACATAAATGCCTTTATAAATGAATGTTGTAAATGGTTGCTATTGATTTTGCAACTATATACATCAGGGGTCTGCTCAGTCCGAATTTGCTACCTTTTAGCGGTACCTTCACAAATTCAACTTTTGGGAAAACGGTAGTTTCACAAAATATTTTTTCTTAAAATTTTATTTTTGTCTCCCTTAAGAAACGATAAATCCATATTATTGTGTTGATTTTTTAATTTTTCAAAAATTTTGTTTAGTATCCTAATAATTTACTGCAAATAGTATGTTTTGATATAAACATGTTGAGAAAATGCAAGAATCTGTTCTTAAATATCTTTTAACAACTTTTTTTTTCTAATTTTATTGCCCAAAAATGAATTAATTTTAAATTATAAGCAGTTAAACTCAAATAAAAATACAGTTTTACCAAAACTATGGGTTTTGACAGGGGTTTTTAACATGAAGGTTAAAACCGTTCATTCTAATACTCGGAAGAAGGCAGTCCTAACAGGCTAACTTTCTTTACTTTTTTGTCTTATTTTAGTCCATATAAATATATTAATATTTAAGCTCATTTTAAGGTCATATCAAAAAACCTTATTAAATAAGCCTGGGATGCTCCAAGTTTAGGTGCTCTATTAATGTGAGTTATTCAAATTATTGAATAGTTTTCTGGTAATTAGTGTAGCTAATCACAAGTGTAATAGATTTGATTTATATTTATTTAGAATTCAATAGTTTTTTCGATTATGCCAAGTATATTTATAAGTAGATCATATTAATGTAACCATTTGTTGTGTTGATCTTTGTAATTAACTAATTCTGTGATTATATTAATTTATTTGTCTGATGTAATTGATGACATTCATAAGGCAGATTATGAGAATAATGAGTACTTGTCTAAACTACAATAGACTCAGTTCAGCAAGAATTACTAACCGAATTAAGCTGAAGGTTTGCTGGCTTTGTGTGCACCACCAGTTCCTTAGAGTTGGATATGAGTATTGCTCGTGGTTAGTTAGGATAGAATGTGCTTTTTTTTTTTATTTATTTTTTTTTTCCTTCCTAATTTTGTTATGTCTAAAAGTAGCTTCGTATTTTTGATTTTGGCTCAATTTTATTACATTAAATATAGATAAAAGAAGATGTTCTACTGTCAATATATTTTCGTTTTTTGTAAATGTTGTATTTCAAACTTTAATAAACAATTCTTTCTATACTTTAAGTAAGAAATGTTTTGTTTATGGTGAGATAGTTTATTTTTATTATGATTCATTCATCCTCTTAATTTATTCAATGATTATAAAGATTTGTCAGATAAAATTGATGACACTCATAAGGCAGATTATGAGAATTTCTGGATTGTTTTGATATGGCTTAAATTTTTTTAATGGCTATTTTTCCTACCTGATTAAAGTACTTATTAGATAATGTACTATGATTAAAAATAACATGCCTGAACTAATTGATGAATTGTATAAGGCAGTATGAGTGCAAAAGGTTGATTATATTCTGATCATTTTATGTTAATAGTATTTATGTACATCAGGCAATAAGGTAAACACTAAAATATATATTCTAATGCGTTAAATGTCACCAGGTAGTTTTTTAATAGTGCTGCATTATGTTATATGAAATTATTAGGGAATAATTTGTAGCTTTTTAGTTCTATGATTATTTTATTGTGTCTGATATAATTGATGACATTCATAAGGCAGATTATGAGAAAATGAATTTATTAAAGCACTTCTAATTTCATTCATGTTCTGGTTTATGATATAGTTTTTATGATTGATTCTTTCATTTATTTATTCTATGATTATATAAATATTTGTCTGATGTTATTGATGACATTCATAAGGCAGATTATGAGATTTTATCAACCAAAAAATTTATTATATTTTGGATAAATTTAGCTTTGTATAGTTCATGTGAAGGTCTTCAAATGGGGAACATTTAAGTTGATTGATTTTTTATAACCATTCTAAGTTTTTTTCTTTTTCTCTTTTGATGCTGCATTAAACAGTATGTGTGCAAGAAATTTGTTTTGATATTAAGTAACATACAATCATGCCAGTTTACTTTCTTTACCTAATTTTTATCTTAAATTTCGTATCCTTTTTTTTTAATCAATATGTTTCTGAATTTTTACGACTCTTGAATAATGTTGTATTAAAACTGAAATTTTGTAAGGGAAAATTAGTGTCCCATTTAAATCTTATGTGATGAAAACATTTTCAAAAATTTAAATTGTTCTCTTTTTATTTTATTTTAATTGTTTTATTCTAACTTACAATTTAACATTCATCAAAATTAAAAATAATTACTGCAATTACATTTATCTACTCCTAAACCTGTTCTGTGATTATCTCACTTTTTCTGGTGTTTAAATATTCTTTACTTAACGTCCGAGGTTGTTTGTCATTTGCTTTAAAAGACTATAATAAAGTCTTAACTTTCATGGAAATATGGAATTTTTTCTTAATCTTATTATACTTTCCCTCTTGTACCATGATTAAGATCATCATGCCTGAAATCTTTGATGAATTGTATAAGGCAGTATGAGTACTGTTTTCACTTTATTTTTTGCTGGGATGTCATAGCTGCCAACTGCTCTGAATTTTTTGGAGTTCCTAATTTTTAACTCAAATCTGAAAATCTGATATTTTTAAAAAATATCTTAATTTTCATAAAATTGCAGTATATTTGCTTTTTAACCAATCTCTTATACTGATCGCCGCAACCACACTTACTGTGTTTATTGTAAGTAATTTTTAGTAGCTTTTTATTAGAAAATACTATTCCAATAGCTATTGCTGATCATTTCACTAAGATGAATCTTTAACAACTATTTTTTTTTTTAAATTTATTGTAGTATTTTAACACTTGCATCAGAAATATTTGTTTATGATGTAGATTATTATTCACCTGTGTTTTATAATTTTGAGAAGAATAATTTTATATTAATAGGTAATTTTTTAAATTATTATACCGGTATTCCTAATTATAAAATATTAATATTTATTTCCCACAAAAGATAGTGTTTCTAGTTTTGTTTTACTAATTTACATACGGTATTTAAATATATGTCTATTAATTTTATTATTTAATAGTTAAATTTTGGTCTTATTCTCGTAATTTTTGCGTATTATTTTGTTACATATAGTGCTCCTAATTTTTGGTTCCTAAGGTTGGCAGCTATGGGATGTTAAAATTTGATAAATCTTATCTTAAAATGAGTATAGTCATGTGATTTAAAATAAACAAAAAAAAATGCTGTAAAATGTAATCAAAATAATCTTTTATGATGTGTGTAGGGTGCTGTAAATAGTGCAAAAATGTGAATAGATGCATAGTAAAAAGATTTATATTAATTAAATTTAAAGTGGTTTTCTTGTTTTTTTTATATANTATGATGTGTGTAGGGTGCTGTAAATAGTGCAAAAATGTGAATAGCTGCATAGTGAAAAGATTTATATTAAATTTAAAGTGGTTTTCTTGTTTTTTTATATATTTACATTTTCTATATAATGCTGGGCACAAGAGGATTTAAAAAAAATAATAATAATTTTTTACTTTATTGTGGTTGTCTATTGTTCAGTACATAAAAAATGTTACATTAAAATTTTCTTCAAAAATAGGTCCTATTGATTAAAAGTCCTGGATTAGCCCCTGGTGTACTAATTGAAATACTGTAATGAAAACATAAGAAAATGAAGTTTTTTTTATTACTAGCAAACTTCATCCTTAATTTGATACCTTTGCTGCACTCTTTATTTAGTCCTAATAGTATAATATGTATCTGTATTTTTCCTTGTCACAGCTTATTATCTTGATTGGGAAAATTGGGTTAGAAATACAATCAGTGTTCTCCCAAGTGTTTTTTTAGAAGGGCGGCCGACCCTTTGATGTGCACTCTGTAAAAATAATCTGTCATCTCTAAAAGCACTGCCTTTTATTCATATTCCATTTATAAATACCAGTATGTAATTATTTAAATTCGCTGTTTATGTAATTACACACTGTTGAAATTATCTGTGTTTATAGGTTTAGTTCTGTTTAATATTATAAATTTTTTGTTAGGAATATTCTCAACTGGTTGAATTTGTATAATTTCTCTTTTTTCGGATGGGGTGTAGAAGTGATTTTAAAAAAAAAAAAATTAATTCACTTCTAAATATTCATTTTCTCATAATTTTCAGTATATATATATATATTTTATTAAAGTTACTTTTTTAAAAAAAAATCTGCATAGTGATTGTCTTTTAGCGTGTCTAATTATTTTTTATAAACTACAAATATCTCCCTTATTTTGATACTTCGGGATAATTACTTTTTGAATTACACATAAAATAGTATAAGAGCGTACTTTAAAAGGTGCAGAAGATCAAATTCAGTTATTACATAATTGGGCTGGCGTTTGTAAAAAAATTAACATAAATTTCTGAGGAAAAGCTCTAAGCAAATGTTTTGAAAGCTGACAAGAATTCTGTGCAGTTCTTAACTTGTGAAATGTGAAACTTAATTCATTAGAAATTTTTTTACTTCAGTGTTCCTTGTAAAAAATTTTAGTATTGGACGTAAATTCTTCGAGTTTCATATAAATTTAAGCTAATGGTAACAAATATATATTTTTCTAATTATAAATAATATTTTTTGATTAAATGGCTATTTATGAATTTAAATTATTTTCTTTTTCCTGTTGCAATAGGTAGATCAATGTTATATGACATTTTCCATCTTCTGAAAGTTAGTTGAAGAATAGCTAATTTTAAATGTGCAGCATATGCTAACAACGATGTATATAGTACTCATATTTAAGCAAGTTTCAGAGAATATATAATTTTTATTTTTTCTAAATAACAATGCACAATTTTTTATGCAATGAAAAAAAATCTATTGAAAATATGTCACTGCATATAATATATAACAATTTTCCTTCTTCTCTCATAGAAAAAATCATAACACATTTGTACAATTTTTACAGTCTATTGTGTTTGAGCAGACAATATTAATTTATATACCTTTTATTTGTATTTAGTAGCATAGCTATTGGGAGACCAGAAGGAACGTTTGTCCTGTTTGTAGTCTTAGATATGCGCCAATTATGAAAAATGAATTCCAGAATAAATTTTTTGCTTTCAGATACCCCCCATAGTTTCATTTGTCAAACATAAACCCGATAACAACTTTTATCCCATTTACCTAAAATTGGGATAAGAAGTGTATTATTATAGGGGAAGGTTTATTTATTTTTTAAATTATTCTTTGCAAATAAGTGAAATAATAGTAATCAGTTAATATTTATCCTTCAATAAAAAACAATAAACATCTAAATGTAATAGAAACTACATACTTTAGTAATGAGTACTATTCGATTTTAAACCAAATCGAATTAATGTTGTTACAGTGACGTATTGTAGAATCTCATTTAATGTAAAGTTCAATTAAATGAGTTCAGTTTTAGAGAAATTTAACTTAAAGCATTTATCTTAAGTCTGACATATCATATTATATATATTAGAGGGTGCAAACGCTGAGTTTGTCCCCTGCGCTGTAGGCCATAACTACACCTTTGTTTGTATTAGCAAGTTTGGCCCTTTACATCTGAATGTACCAATTAGCAAGCATTAGAGCTAACCTAAGTATAGGCATGTGCTTAAGCTCAAAAAAGGTTTTCTGAATATGAGTGTTAGTTGTTTTTCTCAAATACAGAAATAGATAACTGCAGAATATTCTAAAATAATTTTGGTCCAAATACAGAGTTGCCACAGGCGACTATTTTTGACCTGAGGTGACTATTTATCAACTTGTTTTGCCTTTACAAAGTAAAATAATAATTTGCAAGATATTTATTATTTTCAAAACCAAAATAGACTGTGCAAATGAGACTTAGAATTGATAGGTTTTTTACGGAAGTGAGCTCCCTTTCAAAACTCAAAGTGTCCTATTTTATTCCTAGGGAGAACTCAAATACAATAAGTGAGTAGAAATTTACCAAGATCAAATTAAATGCCTTTTTTTAAAAAAAAAAAATTAAAATATTATTGTTAACCCCATGACTTATCATTTCTTGATATGAAAATGATTTGATTGCACTGTAAACAACTCACAACGGAGTCAGGGGTCTGTCCAGACATTATGTGAAAGGTCCGTTTTTGTAAAATTGTGAACAAATTACTTTGAATTTGTGAATATAAAATAAGATACAAGATGATGCTCAACAATGTAAAATTATAATAAAAAATTTAAATTTTAAATAAACAGCGATTGCTGCTACTAAATTAGAGATGCGACATACAAATATTTGGTATTTAGCCTATCCTGCTGAACGCAGACTATTCATTTTGGACGAATAAAGGAAGAAGTGTCGGCTGAAAACAAAACTTGGTTCGTTTACTTATGTCTTTCTCCCCCCTCCCTTCCTGGGAAGGGTTTCTTCAGTCAACAAAACAATAAAGATAAACAAATTTGTGAAGGGTCACTAAAAGATAAATTATTTTGTGAAGGGTCCGTTAACAGACCCAAATTTCTTCTAAACAGACCCCTGGGAATGTTGACGAAGATGCCAACTGCTCTGGACAAGCTAAAATAATTTTTTTAAAAAAGCAGTAAGTAATTACAAACTAAATTTTGCAAATATTTGACTATTTTTGCTTGCTTTTTAAAAAGTATAGCATGCCATGACTACTATAAAGTAGTGAATTATATAAGCCTACAAATTATTTAGAAATAGTGGTGGATAAAAATCTACTAAATTGAATTTAAGCCAAGAATCACAATTGTTAAACTACCACTTTAAAATATTTATTTGCTGTCCAAAGCAAGTTTTCATCCCTGTTGAAGACAACTTAACTAAACTCAGTGGCGCGACAGCCCATAGAGGGCCAAGGCCTACTGTGCCCATCTCAGTTTTCTTGACCTTGGGCTCTGGTGTGCAGGAGCAGATGTTCCGGTCAGGTGGTCAGCCGAACCCGAGCCCCCCGGTGTTTAGTTCCCAAGCATGCTTGGTACTCATTTATCGAATCGCTAACTGCAATGTTTGTCGGCAAATCTTTACAATTGTTGCATTAATTTTTTTTTGTACCAAAACATTAAAAATTAAATAAAAAATCTTGCCATCAAAATAAATTATTTTTTTCAAGGTGATATGTTAAAAAAAAAAAATATTTTATAATACCGACACTTTTCTTGTACACATCCTACACTTTACAAGAAAAAAGAAACAAAATCCTGGAAAAATCAGGGAAATTTGAAATCTGATTTGAGTGGCCACCCTGTTTAAGAAAGCTTTTAAGAAGAAAAAAAATTTAATTGCAAGAGTTAGAAGAAAAAAAATAACAGCAGATAATTTTAATTTTACATGTTACAAGCAAACTTAATTAATAATTTACTGTGATTTTTTTTTTTTTACATGAAATGCCTTAAATTTTCTTATGTATTCAAATTGGAAAAAGTAAGATTGGTAGGTTTTTATGTTAATCTTTAACATCTGTACTTAAACAAGATTTATTAAAATATTTGAAACTGGAAAATGTCTTTATGTGTAAAAGTGATAACTTTATTTTTCTTGGTGAAAGGGCTAGAAAAAAATATGCAATTTATACATTTTTGCGAGTTTCTTATAATAACAGCTTTTTAATTTTAAAAAAAAAAACTGTCTAGCTATCTTTCACACAAAGTTTTTTAATTTTTGATAAGTCCTTAAAATTTTGGACTCCTTGGATTTCTTCTGCTGATCTCTGTATGAACCCTGTTTATCGACCCACTGAAGGGATGAAAAGCTGAGTCAACCTTGTCCGGTCCCCGGATCGGACCTGTGGCATGGCAGCACGAATCGCTACCACTCGGCCACCGGGCGTCGTTGAAGGCGTCTGAGACACGTCAGTTATTGTTCTTGCGTACGGAACAATTGACATGTCAAGGGGTTAATTACACTGCAATTTTTTATTGATCAATCTCAAATCATTGCTGCTTATAAAGAATATATACTAATTTTAAAGAACTAGAGGGTAGTGCTATTATGAAGAAAGAAACTATGTTATTACTTATCTGTTTACAAAATATTTCTGTGATACTTTTTATATAACCTGGCAGTGAAAAGCCCTATAGAGTAAACTGAAACAATGGTTTAACTGTCATATTACATTGTGTTCATTATTAAGGTTAAGTTTTTGTGTGGAAGATCAATGCATTTTGAATAAGGTTTAAATGTTTTTTCTTAAATTTAGACATTTTATTCCAATAAGTTAGAATGTGTTTTTATTGCAGGGCACTGCTCGGAGGAAGAAGAAGGTTGTACACAGGACAGCTACTACAGATGATAAAAAACTACAAAGCTCTTTAAAGAAATTAGCTGTTAATAATATTCCTGGTATTGAAGAAGTAAGTTCACTTTCCATGTTATTAAAAAATATTCTAGATTTTGTCCCTTGTGTAGTCTGTTTATCATATTAACTGTCACTTTCATTCTTTAAAATGATTTTTTAATGAAAAAAAAGTTCGCTTGATAAACATTTCTCTTCTTAAACTTAAATAAATATTGCTTGATTTCAATATTGTACCAATGCTCTTTTTTTTTCCCCGTTGGCAATTCTAAAACTGTAATATCAAGCAACTGTCATAAAAATGAATTGATAAATATAATATGCCTTTCAAATTTGAACGCTATTTCCAATTAGCTATTTGGTTTGTGGATAATGAAATGCTGAAGCGAGTAAAGCTATAAGCTCGGCGGATATGAAACATTAAAATTTATTATTATTTAAACATTATTTTTATGGAAATATTATCTGTGCTGTTTATGATAAGCTATTATTTTGCTTTGTTCTAGGTTAATATGATTAAAGAAGATGGTTCAGTTATTCACTTTAATAATCCTAAAGTTCAAGCATCTTTGGCTGCTAACACATTTGCAATTACTGGTCATGCTGAACCAAAACGTAAGTTGATTTATGCTTGTTGTGGAATGTAAAAGCTGTTTTGGGCAACAAAAAAAATTTGGTTGTTTTCAGGAAGATTGTGCCTCTTTTGTGCATTTCAAAGCTACATTTACCTGGGGCAGACACTAGACTCTGTGTGCAGCGAGCGCAGTGTAATATCCCATTAAAATTCCACATAAGCAGATTGAATGTGCATGCCATACAAATGTACACGTTCAATTTCATATAAGTAACTTACCTGTCTTTTATAGCTGCTGACAGTTTTGTTGCCCATTTTAAAATTAGTAAGATTAAACAGAAATGAGCTGGTGGTTGATTTTTATATTCTGTGTATACAGGGTGTTAAGTTAAACACACAATCTTTCTGTCCCGCTTGGTAATTTGTTGAATAAATTATTCCTACCCAGCATTAAATATCTGATAAAATTGTCCCAAGCTCTGGTACCCAGTATGTCTCTAAAATATGTAAATTTCTCTCACAAAAATTATTTAAGTATTACATAATGAACCGAGCCTCAGTTATAGTAATTATTTTACAGCTTTACTTTCTTTTTTGTTCAGAAATTTTCAGTTTATTTAGAACTCCCTTTTTACTAAAAATTTAATTTTTAATTAATAAAATCTTTTAAACATCAATAATAAATTACTGTTCAAAATTATGAGTTAACATAATAAAAGGCATTTCAAGTTTATTTAATGTTGATCATAAATGGAAAACAATGCATTAGTGTAAAAATTCCCTGTATATATGAAATATTAAGTATATTATTCTATTTATTTATATTTAGTTACTAATTCAGTTACCATGAAGTTTTGTAAAATCTACGGGGTGACTCTTACATAAGCTATTGATTTATTATTTTTTTTTCCCAAATCTCCTGGTCTTTGAAAAATTTCTAGATTTTTTTAGTTTGGTGTGTTGACAAGTCTGAATCTATTAATAATATTCATCTGCTCTAAAAACAATCAGCAACTTCACGGTATAAACATTAAAATTTGATTTATATCATATCAAAACTTTTTTCTCAAGTTTTTAGAATCCAGTTTCATGCTATTTAACTATATTATTTTGGTTGTTATTTCTTAAAGAAATTTCTTTTAATTACATATAGAAATCACAGAAATGCTTCCGGGTATTTTGAACCAACTGGGAGCTGAAAGCCTCACACATTTGAAACGACTGGCCACAATGCAAACATCAACAGGTATTTTGGGTCTGCTGAAAAATTTTGTCTTTATTTTCTGATACTTTGTATGCAAAAATATTTTTGTTCAATCTTTCTCTTAGCAATAATATAACAATAGTTCTTGAGCTAATATGTAAAGAAAGAGCTAACAAAATATTAAAAAGTAAATGTACGAGCTAATAAAATATTATATTAACATTTGATTATCTTAAAATTTTAAATAAAGTCAATTTTATATGAGAAAGTTTTATTGATCTACAATTATACTAGTAGGGGAAAGTTGGACAAAACGGGATACAATTATTGTTTTTATTTACTATGGATTTTTGTTACTGGATTTCAGAGGCTAAGTTCTTCATGCCTGCCAAAAAATTATTACAACCAACACTTCCCAACCATTTTTTTCCTTGTGTTAAAATTATGCTTAATATTGTTTCTCTCAGCTAACTCAAATGTCCGTTAGAGTTATACCAAATCTCTCTTTTAGAGCCAATACATGCTCACACGTTTTTTCTTGTTCAGCATTGAATACTGTCTCTTATCTGTCCAACTTTTTCACTGCGGCCAATCCAGGGGTCAATGTATTTGGACGAGCCTTTTTTACCTTTCTTTCGATATAGTTATAATAGTATAGTAAAAGTATTTGGCCAACAAATAAATCTGTGGATAAAACTGGATATAAAAGGAACTGTCCTGTTTTATCCAACTCATAAGTATCCCGTTTTGTCAGACTCAGACACTTTTCAAAACAAACGTGGCTTCTGACTAGACATAAGAATACTTGTTAATAAATTCTTCATCAAATGTAATACTCACTGGAATTTTAGTTCTATATATATATATATAGGCAGTACAATGTGAAAAACAGCACTCGTAAATGTAGAAAGTGGCAAAAAAAAATGGAGTAAAAAAGTTCCGAGGCCTACAACTTTCTATCAACTAGTGATCTCGACGGTACGCACTGAAAATGATATAATCACAGTCAAATAAAAAGTTTCTGTCGTCGTCCGCTAGATAGCTGCTATAGTCTGGTCCCTAGACGGCCTATCCCGTTTTATCCAACTCTCCCCTACGTGAATGCAAAGTACAGCACAATATTAAAATTTTAACATTTAAATTCTTTGCCAAGAGTAGTACTATTTTTTTTGAATTGCGGGAAATTCGATTCAGTTTTTCTCACTTTATGTAAACTCCAGGCATATTTCAAGACAGTGACTTTGTAGCTTATGATTTTATCGACATTTGTAGAACAGTTGGGACCACTTGTTGCCATCCCTAACAATGATGAATTCTTAAACCATGAAGATTTGGGAGGTGTAATTTGATGAATATTTTTAGAAATTTATATTATTGTGCTTTGTTTTATGTACAAGAGTGCATAAATTCCTAATTTTGATATTATATTAAGAATTGTGACTAGTTAAAAATATAAATGAATCCATTAAAAAGAAAATATGAAAAACTTGCAAAAGTGTAATTGCGTCCTGAGACAAAATATCAACTGTCAGATAGTTCCGTAGAAGATGTTCTACTTAAAATAGTCGTGTGTTGTCTGCTAAAAATTATAAGTGGAAATTCATAATAGGGGCATGTTCTGATTGTTATGTTTCAATGCTTTGTGGAAATGTTTGCTGGATTTAAAAGTCTGAAAAAGAAAGCAAAGAGTTAAGATATCAATAATACAATTAGTTAACAAATCACATATTGAATGTATGCTTTGCTACAAACCTCATTAAATCTACAGTTAAGAATTTAAGCTTTTTAACTAAAGTAAAAATGTATAGTTTTTTTAGATCTGTTACATTTATTTTGTTTTATTCTTTAATACTTAATTGCTAAGCAATTGTATTGGTCATCTTTAGTTTCTAACATTTTGTCCAGTTTTTTTTAGTGCCCTTGAAGAAATATTTTCATTTTGAACAAAATCTCAAATCTGATATAAAGCAGATTTTGTGATACTTCCAAATTATTTATTAATGTTTATTGGTATTTTTAGGGCCTATTTCTGAACAAACAAATAGTGGTATTGATGAAGAAGAAGACGAAGAAGTGCCAGGTTAGCATATAATAATTTATTTTATTCATTTGTGTATTTATCAATTACTCTTATTCAGGGTTCGCCAAGTGGGCCTACTTTGAAAAAACCCGCCTTGGTTTTATTATGTGGGCCCACCTTGAAAAAACCCAAAGTTTTTAATATTTGTAAAGTAAAAGAAACTAATCTATAATTTCATAGTACTATTGAAAATTTTAAGTGGGTTTTTTTCGAAAAGTAATATTTCAATGAAATTAAATCAAATAGAAATTTAAATAATCCATTTTTCAAATTTAGTTGCATGCTTTATATATATTAATAAACCGGTTATTATTAATTCATATGTTTAAAAAAATTGGAAAGAAACAATTTTTTTTTTTTTACTAAATGTTACATTAACAAATTTAAACAGTTTTATTTTCTGGCTTTAAAAAAAATAAGCTAAAACTTTTTGTAAGAGAACTTTTTAAAATTATTTATCTATAAATTAAATAATTTTCCTATGGTTCATAATTTGAAGGGAAAAAAATGGGACAGGTAACTGATACTCTTTATAATTATATGAAATTTCAATTTCTATTAATCTTATTATAAAAATATGGAAGACCATAAAATATTTATTTCGGTTTTTTATTAAAGTCAGATGAATTGAGCGGATTATTTGGCTCATTCCGGAGTCACACAAAAAATATAAAGAGAAACATTTTCAAGATTAAAAATATTTGACTCATGAAGTGGTAACACTACCAAATTTTTCGAAGCAACATTCGTTATTCGATTGCAGTGTATGTAATATCAGCAGCATGGTCAAAGGTAAATCGTCTACGTTATCACGATCTTGGAGAAAGATCATACCGCTTGATGAACAATCCTCTTCAGATGTTCAAGAAAAATATGATAGCAGTATTCTCGAACAAGCAAAAGAAATCTGTTTCGAAATTCTTGATGAAGAAAATTTAAAATATTGGTTTCAAAGTGATGCATGTGAGCCTAGCTTCCAGTATTTGACTGATGAAGACATGTTATGTTGTTAAATCAAATAGTGATGATAGTGACTGATGCAGAAGATGTAGTAAATGAATGAAATACAATTTCTCATTCTGCTCCTCTGTGGAAACTTTATTAGATTATACGGGAGGATTTGATTTCATTGACATTACTGCGGTTTGTAAAATATGTATCGATATATGGCGAAGAGGCATTGCACATTATTTAATAAGGAAAATTCCTAGTTTGATGTTATGCATGCAAATGTCAGTAATTTTTATATTTTTTGTACTGATATTGAATTTTTCTTTAATAAAAGGAGTATTCGGATCATCCGTGTTTTTCTATTGTCCGTGCGACCTGTCCCGGTGATTAACCCGGATAATCGGGAGTGCACTGTATTTGTTGGCACTTTAACTGATCTTCNTTTTCTGTAGTATGGATTGCAGGGTTGTTACGGGAATTCCTTGCAATTGAGCGAATGCTACTTTTGTTCCATGAAATTCATTAAACTGCTTAACAATTTCGGCTTTCTCAGCAACAGAAAAGTTTTTGCGTTTTTTGCTCACCATTTTCGTACGAAAGGGTTTGAAATGCGACCACCTTGTGCTAAACAACAACAGAGTCTGAAAAGCTGTAGAAACGTAAAGATCCCCTTTGCTTTCCAAGGAAGAAAATAAGTCACTACATCTGATTGGTAACTGGAGTGTCTCTTCTCCTATCTGTCTCATTCCTGCACCAATGAAATGTGTTGTTTCTGTACTTAGTTTCTTCGCCCGCTGCCTTGTCCGAGACAGGCAGCAGGTGTTCAACAAAGGAAGGGGTAGAGAGGACTAAAGTTCTAGAAAACAGTAGTCTGTGGAATGCGTTTCTGCTTTCATAGATTTACTTGCAACAACGTGGATGAGCTTTAAAAAAGCAAACATAGAAAAAATATTGCTTATTAAAACATTTTTTTATTTTTATTTCTACAAAAAACGTAAAATGCGGGAAATTCCGTAAACTAAAAACTTACAATCCGGGTAAAATTAACATTGGAGGTATACGGAAAAACTGGGTCCTGATGAACAAAACGTAAAATGCGGGAAAACGTAAATTCGGGGGACGTAAAATCGAGGTTTCACTGTATAATAGTATAATTTCATAGTACTAATATTTCAATGAAATTAAATCAAATAGAAATTTAAATAATCCATTTTTCAAATTTAATTGCATGCTTTATATATATATATATTAATAAACCGGTTATTATTAATTCATATGTTTAAAAAAATTGAAAAGAAACATTTTTTTTTTTTTTTTTTACTAAATGTTACATTAACAAATTTAAACAGTTTTATTTTCTGGCTTTAAAAAAAATAAGCTAAAACTTTTTGTAAGAGAACTTTTTAAATTATTTATCTAAAAATTAAATAATTTTCCTATGGTTCATAATTTGAAGGGAAAAAAAATGAGACAGGTAACTGATACTCTTTATAATTATATGAAATTTCAATTTCTATTAATCTTATTTTAAAAATATGGAAGACCATAAAATATTTATTTCGGTTTTTTATTAAAGTCGGATGAAATTTTAGATTTTACCGATTATATATACAGTACACTCTCGATTATCCGTGAGCGGATTATTTGGCTCATTCCGGGGGTCACACAAAAAATATAAAGAGAAACATTTTGAAGATTAAAATTATTTGACTCATGAAGTGGTAACACTACCAAATTTTTGGAAGCAACATTCGTTATTGGATTGCAGTATATGGAACATCAGCAGAATGGTCAAAGGTAAAATCGTCTACGTTATCACGATCTTGGAGAAAGATCATACCGCTTGATGAACAATCCTCTTCAGATGTTCAAGAAAAATATGATAACAGTATTCTCGAACAAGTAAAAGAAATCTAATGTTTCGAAATTCTTGATGAAGAAAATTTAGAATATTGGTTTCAAAGTGATGCATGTGAGCCTGGCTTCCAGTATTTGACTGATGAAGACATCAATATGTTGTTAAATCAAATAGTGACTGATGCAGAAGATGTAGTAAATGAATGAAATACAATTTCTCATTCTGCTGCTCTGTGGAAACTTTATTAGATTATACGGGAGGATTTGATTTCAGTGACATTACTGCGGTTTGTAAAATATGTGTATCGATATATGACGAAGAGGCATTACACATTATTTAATAAGGAAAATTCCTAGTTTGATGTTATGCTTGCAAATGTCAGTAATTTTTATATTTTTTGTACTGATATTGAATTTTTCTTTAATAAAAGGAGTTTTCGGATCATCCGTGTTTTTCTATAGTCCGTGCGACCTGTCCCGGTGATTAATCCGGATAATCGAAAGTGCACTGTATTCACTAATTTTATAATAAGTGATATATATGTTTAATAACTATGGTAAATGAATGTGTGTGAAAACAAAAAAATTTATAAAATTGTGCTATGTTATGTATTTAACAATAAAGGGGATTCAAATATGTATTATTGATAATGCATTATTTAAAGTTAATGTAAAATACATATAACAAAAGTAAAACTTCATTTATGAGCACTCAATGAAAAAAAAAAACAATTTTCCTCATTTTTTCAATAAAACCCAGGCGGGTTTGTTTTTTTTTAAATATACCTGGGTTTTTTTCAAACCCTGTTATTTGATCTGAACTTGATAGTTATGTTCATCTGATATATTTCCAACATATTTATATCCTTATCTATTTATTTTTCAATGGGTAATGTAAAAATTATCTGTTGAATAGCGCAAAAATAGTTTTTTAAAAAAAAAATTTTAAGACAACTGTTATGAGGTGATTTACTATACTCAGTTGTTTTTAAATGCATATTATTTTCTTTCCCTTATTATTCTATTTCTTGAGAAAATGTTAGTTTTACTGAAATGAATATAGTGAACAATGCCTTTATTGAATTTTAAGCTCAACTTGTGAAGTGCAGAAAGAACTGAGTTCAGACAAACCTATTAGAGTAAGCCATGAAGTTCCATCCAAATGCGAAATACTTTGAATCCAAATACTAAAAAGAAATTTATTTTTTTTAATTATTCAATTGAAAAAAATTTGTGAGAATAGAAATTTGAATTCCACAATGGAGAAGTTCTCTTCCAATATTTGATATTTTGAAGAGAAAAAAGTTTTCAGCAATTAAAACTTCATTGCTTACTCTAGGTTTGCCTGAACTCGCTTTTTATAAATTTTAAATTCGTAATGGATGTGAAAGAGAATTTATGCGGTGTTGCTCCTGTGGTATGCAGGGGTCACATTCCCCCTAAAATTCATAAAATTCCTAAAACTATGCAAACCCTAAAAATCTGATAAAATTTTGTTGGTGTTCCTAAAAAATTAGAGTTATAGGCTAAATATAAATAAAAAAGCAATAATCTAAAATATAAGAATTTAACTACATTAATTAAAACTGTTTTAATTTTGCCACATGGGAATTCTGATCCTGAGAAGGTTTTTCGATAAATAAAGCAATGCTTAATGTTAGTCACCATGAGAATACTATTATGTCTCTTAGACTAAACAAAGATACCATTTGAAATTATGGAGGAGTGTTGAAGATCACCACAACACTATTGAGGGCAGTAAAAGAATCTCACAAATCATATCAAGAATATGTTAGAAAAATGATCATGATTAATTTGTTTTTCTCTAACTTCTAATATAAATTGCTGATTTGAAATCTAATATTATCACACAATAGTTTTTCTTAATAGAGTAAGGTAAAGGGTAATAATAAAGTTTTGATTTAGAAGGTAAAAATTAAATAAAATTCCAAGTTGGCGTTGATTTATTTTTTCTCTTGATTTATTCTCACTTTTGCCTGTTCCTGAATTATGCACTTAATTTCTGATAGGTAATATGTAAAGTTGAAATTTCATTTTTACACTTTAGAGATTTCATTCTTGACTTAATAAATTTCAGAGCTTTATTTTATGGCTTGCAGTTATATATGATATGTGTGGATGAAATGTAATCATCTTCTGTTATTTAATAAACTACCGTGTGATCTGTTTTTAACCTAGCAAAATCATATATTACCCCTAAAACCCTGGGTATGGCGTCTTCTCAAGTTTTGTAAAATACAATTAATACGTATACAACTCCTGTTTAAACTTTTATAGTTTAATTTATTCAATAGCCTATTTGTTATAAATATAGCACTATAAAAGAACATAGTTCATAATTTCTATGGAGTTCCTACCATTTATAAAACATTCTAGGCATATCAGTATATGATGGTATTTCTTAACAAATATTGTTAATATGATATCCAGTAGTTTTTCTATTGATATTCTTACTAACTTTAGGGTTATCATGCTTTTTAGATTTTATTACTTTTTTTTCTGCCAATATTATTTGGATGAATTTTAAAAATGCTTATCATTTAGATGTTTTCTAATCATCTGCACTGTTTACTTTTAGACTTAGTCGAAAATTTCGATGAACCGTCTAAAGCTGAAGGCGTGTAAATTTGCGAGTATAGCCGCGATGAAGGAAAAATGTCCTGTATTAACAACTCTGTAATTTTATTGATATATGGTAATGATACCATGACTTCGTTTTCAAAATTTGTGTATTGAACTGTGCGTAGTAAAAACATGTTTGTATGAATTTTTGTCTTGTTATTGTTGTATTTCTACTATGTCCAACTAAGCTGCTCTAAAGTCAATATGAATGCGAGGACTGGAGATATCAACAAAATATGTTGAAAATTAATAAAAATGTTTTTGCTTTATTATGCTGTATTTTTTATACATAAAAATTGGCAGTTAATATGCAGTTCATAGTTTCAAATTAGATTGTTAATTGCTATTAATTAATAAAACTAAATTCAGCGGCGCAACAGCCCATCTCAGTTTTCTGGGGTGCAGGAGCAGGTATTCCGGTTGGCCGTATGCGGAACCCCCAGTGTTTAGTTCCCAAGCATGCTTGGTACTCATTTATCGACCCACTGAAGAGATGAAAGGCTTAGTCAACCTTTGCCCGACCCGGGGATCGAACCAGGGACCTGTGGTTGACAGCGCGGAGCGCTACAACTCAGCCACCAGGCGACTAATAATTAATAATTGTCCAGAATTAGCAGTTCATAGTTTCAAATTGGATTGTTAATTACTAATGATTAAATTTCTCTAAATATCCTTAATTTTTAGTAAACTCTCTAGTGTTCCTGATTTCCATGGAGACTTCTTAATTTTTAGGTTAAATGTCAGTTATATGTTCCTAATACTGAGATATGCAAAGCTGTAAAGATACTTTTGTTTTACACTTTAATCATAATAGTAAAATAAGTTACAAGATAATGCTGTTAGTGTATACAGTCAAAATGTCCCAGTAGTTGAGAAATCTGGATCACTTGATCTTTTGGCTTTTTATTTTATCATATAACAGTGTTTTCATCATAGAAAAAAAATGGGTGAGAATTTCTCACCCTTTCTCAAAAACAGGGTGAGATTTCTAAAAACTAAAAAAACACAAACTCTTGGGGAAAAAAATCATTTCTTTAATTATAATACATTTTTAACGTCTTCTATTTTTTAAAGCATTGAATATTTTTGGTGCATCATCATAGAAGATTTTGCCTTTACAAGGTATTTGTCCATCTTACACAAGTGCATAAAAAATTTGAACGTCTTACATGAAGAAACCTTACCTACGGTAAACACGTGGTTGCAGAGAAATGTGTTCTGAAAGGGGTTCCGTGGTT